AAAAACTACAACCATTTCACCTTCAAATAGGAAAAAGACAGGGATGACCACTTCGACCACTCCTGTTCAACATAGTGCAATTAGACAAGAAAAAGTAATAAAAGGTATCTAAATTGGGAAAGAAGACGTAAAACTGTCATTCTCAGATGGCTTGATACTGTACATAGAAAACCCAAAGACTCCATCAAAAAATTAATAGTCTTAATAAATGAATTCAGCAATGTAGCAGGATACAACATTAACACCTAGAAATCTATGGCATTTTTATACACCAATAGTGAACTTACAGGAAGAGAGATTTAGAAAAAATCCCATTTATCATTGCACCAAAAAAATTAAGATACCTAGGAATAAACGTAACCAAAGAGGTAAAAGATCTCTACTCGGAAAACTACAGGACACTGAAAAAAGAGATAGAGGAAGACATAAACAGATGGAAGATCATACAGTGTTCATGGATTGATAGAATCAACACATTAAAATGTCCATACTATCCAAAACAACCTGTAGATTAAATGCACTCCCCATTAAAATACCAACGGCATATTTCACAGACCTAGAACAAACGCTCCAAAAATTCATCTGGAATAAAAAAAGGCCCTGGATAGCCACAGCAATCCTGAGAAAAGGACAAAGTAGGAGGGATCTGAATACCAGGTATCAAGCTGTATTACAAAGCCACTGTTCTTAAAACGGCCTGGTGTGACACAAGAACAGACATATAGACCAATGGAATAGAATAGAGAACCTAGAAATTGACCCAAACCACTGTACTCAATTAATATTTGACAAAAGAGGCAAGAGCATACAATGGAGTCAAGGCAGTCTAATCTTTTATTTACTTTTATTTCTAAATAATCATAGATTCACAGGAGTTTGCAAAGAAATGTACAGGGAAGTCCTGTGCACCCTTCCTCAACCCTCCTTCAATGTTGACATCTTGCACAATTATAGTACAATCAAGAAGTTGACATTGGTACAATGCATAGAGCTCATTCACTTTTCACCAGTTATACATATACTGGTGTGTGTGTGTGTGTGTGTGTGTGTAGCTCTATGTGGCTTTGTATAGCCACAACTCCTTCCACAATCAAAATACAGAACTGTACCATCACCACAAGATTCTTTCATGCAACTACACCTATCCTTAACCTCTGGCAACCGCTAATGGTATATAAGTGGAATCGTGCAATATGTATTTGGGGATTGACCTTGTTCACCCAGCATAATTCCCTTGAGACCCATCCAAGTTCTTTTACATGTATCTGTATTTTCCTTCCTTTTTTGATGAGCAATCTTCCAATGATATGGATGTACCACAGTTTAACTAATCACTTGTTTATCTGAGTTGTTGAAAGTTTGGATTGTTACAAATAAAGCTGCTATGTTCATTTATCTGCAAGTTCCTATATGAAAATAACTCTTAATTTCTCTTGAATAAATGTGCAAGAATCAATTGCTAAATCGTATGGTAAGTCTATTTTTAGTTTTGACGGAAATTGCCAAAATATTTTCCAGAGTGGCTATATCATTTTACTTTCTCACCCACAATGTATGTGTGATTGTTTTTCCTACATCCTCACCAGCAGTTGATGTTATTACTATTTTTCATTTTATCCATTTTTATATGTGGCTCATCATAGTTTTTCTGATCTTTTGAGACCTAAGTCAAGAGGTACCCCTGTAGAGCCTTTTCTAACATCATCTGTAAGTCAATTACTCTCTCCTCTATGCCATTTCTGCTACTTCATTCATCATTGTATTTTTTTTAAATCTTTATTGTTCAGATTATTACATTTGTTCCTCTTTTTTCCCCCCATAACTCCCCTCCTCCCAGTTCCCGCCCCACCCTCCACCCTCACTCCCCACCCACTGTCCTCATCCATAGGTGCACAATTTTTGTCCAGTCTCTTCCCGCGTCTCCCACACCCCTTTCCCCCCCAAGAATAGTCAGTCCATTCCCTTTCTATATCCCTGATTCTATTATGATCACCAGATTATTTATTCACTTGATTCTTAGATTCACTTGTTGATAGATGCATGTTTGTTGTTCATAATTTGTATCTTTACCTTTTTCTTCTTCTTCCTCTTCTTAAAAAATACCCTTCAGCATTTCATATAATACTGGTTTGGTGTTGATAAACTCCTTTAGCTTTTTCTTATCTGTGAAGCTCTTTATCTGACCATCAATTCTAAATTATCGCTTTTCTGGGTAGAGGAATTTTGGTTGTAACATCTTGCTATTCATCACTTTGAATATTTCTTGCCACTCCCTCTGGCCTGAAAAGTTTCTGTTGAGAAGTCAGCTGACAGTCTCATGGGAGCTCCCTTGTAGGTAACTAACTGCTTTTTTCTTGCTGCTTTTAAGATTCTCTCTTTCTCTTTAACCCTTGCCATTTTAATTATGATGTGGCTTGGTGTGGGCCTCTTTGGGTTCCTTTTGTCTGGGATTCTCTGCACTTCCTGGACTTGTAAGTCTATTTGTTTCACCAGGTAGGTGAAAAAAGTTTTCTGTCACTATTTTTTCAAATATGTTTTCAATATCTTGCTCTCTCTCTTCTTCTGGCACCCCCAAAATGTTGGTACTTTTGAAGTTGTCTCAGAGGCTCCTTACACTATCTTCATATTTTTGGATCCTTTTTTCTTTTTCTTTTTACAGTTGGGTGTTTTTTGCT